CCCTACATTTATTTCGGTATACGCCATTGTTCGCAATTGAAATATAAGTTTAGTCTAGTAATCATTAAAATAGTTTGATATTTGATATATCTTTTATTTTTAGATTTGTTCGGAACTGTTTAGAAGATTGTTTGCCACATGAGAGTACGCTTAGAGACTGGAGTGCAAATATTGATGGATTTCTCAAATCAAGTATTTTCATACTTAAAACAAAAATTGTATGACAATTTATGAATAAAAGTCTTTTAAAGTAACCAATTTTTAGTAAGATATTTCAATATAAGTTTGAATTATTAGTGTTTACGTTTTCCTTTAAAAGTGTAATTGAAATTAAAGAAATCTTATCTATTTTTTAGTTATATAAATTACCGAGATCCATGTAGCCCAGAGTTTTTTGATTGAAAATTTTTTCTGTTTAAATGAAAATAAAAATTTTCAGAAATCACCCCCGAATACTTTAATATACAGATTGACCTTTGGAATTGAAGTACATGGCCTGTACAATTAGTTAAGGATTAGCGTACATCATCACTCTATATACTATAACCTCGTTGGTTTAAAAACTATGTTTCCGAGGAGCTCAAATCTCATAAAGGTTCGTTTCACTTGTCCTTTCTTATTCAAGCAAAATCGGTTAAAATTGAAATGAACTACATTATGTATTGATATATCAGTTATAAAAAGAAACCAATTAAATTAAAACATTTGAATTTGTAATATAAAATCATAAAATAATAAAACTTTGTTTAACCGCCTGGTCAATTTCATTAATATTAACCATGCAATTCACTTATTCAAACAAGGGAACCAAAGGAATTGAGTTTTTCCACAAGCTCAAATTTTCTAACCCTCCCAAAGTAAAAATTTTGTGAAAAAACCGCGGAAAATCCCAGAAATATTTCCTGGGAATCCGCGGAAATTCCCAGGAATTTTTCATAGGAAAATCCGGTGAAAATGTCGACAGCAATTCAAAGGAATTTCTCATAACCAGGTCCAAGGAATTTCTTGTAACCAATTCCAGTGAACTTCTTGTTGCCAATTCTTCAGAAAAACTGGAGAAATGTCGACAAATTTGTGGAAATTCTTGGGAATTTCCAGAGAAAAGTTTTTCAGAACCAATTCCTGGGAATTTCCTGGGAACCATTCCCAAGATATTTTTAAGAGTTCCTCAGGAATATCTTGACTATTCTCAGCATATTCCTGAGTACTTTCACTAACCAGGACTTTGACCCACTTGTAGTGAATAACTTAACAACTATCTAGAATGCCCCTCCAACTTTTTAGAAGTAAAACCATTTTCTTAAGTCAGAACGTTATAGCCGTTTTTGATCTTACTGAAGTTGGCATGTGTTTTGTTTATTCAGACAACTGAATTGTCAAGAAAAAATGAAAAAATGAAAAATAAGATGAAAAATAATTTGTTTTAAGGTGAGACACCTATTGGAGAAAAACGGAACTTGAAAATTCTTTGAAGAAGTCCTGAGAATTTCTCAGGAATTTCCGGATAAATATTCATGAGAAATTCATAGGAATTTCTTGAGAAAAATTCCAGAGAAATTCTCAGGAATTTCTCGAAACTTATTCTTTTATCTAAATCCCCTTGGAGACCAAGTCCTAAGAATTTCTCAGGAATTTCCACAGAAGTATTCAAGAGTATTTCTCCGGAATTTCTTGGGTTGAAATACCAGAGAAGTTCCCTGAAATTCCCTAAAAAATCCGTAAACATGGTGACCTAGTCCTAAGAAGTTCTCGGGAATTTCCGGAAAATTATTCCAGAGAAATTCTCAGGAATTTCTTGGGGTGAAATTCCGGAGAAATTCTCATGAATTTCTTGAAACTAATAATCTTCTTTAACTCCCCTATAAACCCGTAAACTTGGTGCAGATCAAGTCCTAAGAATTTCCGGAGAAGTATGCCAGAGAAATACTGAGGAATTTTGTGGGGAAAAATTCCAAAGAATTTCTCAGGAACTTAACGAAACTGAGTCTCAAAACTGTGATCCCAAAAAAATTCTGTCATCTTGGGGACCAATTCTGGGAAATTTCTCACCACGGTTGGAGAATCTGGGGAAATTCATCACTTTTGTTACCTGGGTCATATATTTGCAACCTGATTGTGTACCTCTTGGATATTTCAATCTTAGAATACTTTATCTGACAGAATTAATTTAAAATATCAAAGGACTACGACGTCCGGTTGCAAAAATATAAGAATTAAAATATCCGAGTTTGTAACCAAAATTCAGTTCCTTCAGAAACCTTTTTTTGTTGAAGCATAGCAATATGAGAGGATAACTAAACGGATAGACAGAAAACACAAAAATTAAATTTGAAACAATTGATTGAAATTTTTATTTTGAAAACCAGGCTTTTTTTCAAATTTAAAATTGTATCTGTACCCAAAAACATGAGAAAAAAGAGATAAATATTTTGATTTTAGATAATAGAGCAGTAAAAGAGTCTATATATAGATAATGATGCAGTCTCTGAAACAAGAAGAAAAAAGAAACCTCAGCAGGAAAAATATGGAAGGGAACTCTTTGAT